AACCCCTAACCCCTAACCTAAACCCTAAACCCCTAAACCCCTAAACCCCTAAACCCCTATAAACCCTAAACCCTAACCCCTTAACCCCAAAACCCCTAAACCCCTAAACCCCTAAACCCCCAAACCCCTACACCCCTTAACCCCTAAACCCCCAAACCCCTACACCCCTTAACCCCTAAACTCCTAAACCCCCAAACCCCTAAACCCTAAACCCCCAAAACCTAAACCCTAAACCCTAAACCCTAAACCCCTAAACCCCCCTTGCGGAGCTTTGCCAGGATGTTCCCCCGGAGGAGCTGCCGGGAGGGGAGTCCTTGACGATCACAGCAGCCGCTCTGGCTGGTTTAGGGTTTAGGGTTTAGGGTTTAGGGTTTAGGGTTTAGGGTTTAGGGTTTAGGGGTTTGGGTTTAGGGGTTTGGGGTTTAGGGGTTTAGAATTCTATGGGTTTTTCGGTGTTATACTGTAGGGTTTAGGGGTTTAGGGTTTAGGGTTTAGAAGTCTATGGGACTTCTTGGGCTTATACTGTACCTTAACCAACCAAAACCCACTTCTTTTGTAGGTTCTTATTACAAACCTTAATATGGGATTTATAGGGACCCTACAAAAAGTAGGTTCTGGTGGGTTAAGGTAGGGTTTAGGTTTTGGTGATTTAGGATTTCGGGTTCCTCAGCTATCTATTTCTTGGGCTTTGCTTTTTGAAGGATGTAGGGCAAGGGGTCTTTAAAAGGGCATTACGGGGTCTGATGTTGGCTTCATAGCAGTTTTGCGGAGTTCCTAAACCCTAAACCCGAAACCCTAAACCCTTGTGACGGTCGTATAGGGAGGCTTGGCCTTCGATCTGAGATTGATGTTTGTTCGTGCATAGATCCTTGATCTGAAGCCGGCCTTCAAGCCGTAGAGTCCGAGGATTTTGGAGGCAGCCTAGAATATCAATATCTATATCTATAAATATATCTATATCTATATACATATATATATATATATATATGAGAGAGAAAGAGAGAGAGGGAGACTTGAGTACTTGAGCATGGCAACGTATCGGGCAACTTACCCCCCAAACTCCAAGCCCTCGACTTTGACTAGGTTGAGTCCTGGGCTCCGTCCTCACGAGTCCCTGAACTGGTTTAGGGTTTAGGGTAGGATCTATAGTAAATATTATGGTTTCCGTATTATGGCAACTTAACTTAAATCCCTTATAGTGAGCCCCAAAAAGTTCGAAACCGGATTAAGGACAAATAGTGTTGGGATGCCTTGTACATTATTCTTTGGGATTGAGGCTATTGGGTTTCCAACTTTTGGGCTTCTACAATAGGATCTCATATAGAAGCCAATATGATTCCTTGCGGTTCCTTATTGTGATTGTATTATAAAGCAGCCCGAAACTCCATTCTAATCTAATCATCAAGGCTCCTACATTATGGCAGCGAAATTATCCGGATTGAATGACATCCGCTTTCCAAGACAAGCCCGAGAATTAAGCCCAAAGCCTTCCGACTGCCGCAATCCGGCTTGACTTCTCCCCAGAGGCTGCGCGGATGTTTACGGAACAGCATTGATAGTTCGCCGGTCTAGACAACCCACAAATTAATCATCAAGATAGCGATTATATATAGCTTTAGCAGTTAGAATGATGATGCTGACAGCTCTACTGCCCTGAACGGTGAGGCCAGAGTTATCCCGTACTGGACGAAGACAATTCTTCCTTTGCTGACAGGCAGCTGGGGTGGGTAAGGTCGTCAGAACGCGCACACTCAACGCAACTCTCAGACAAGTAAGTAGTTGACAACACAGAGTGCCATGCACATGCCGCAGCTGTACAGCAGAGATTAGAGGTATGGGTCGTTCAAGGTTTGGGCCGTCGGAAGGGCTTGCTGTGGTGGGAGTTCTGGCCCAGAGGCCAGCGCGCACACTTCTCGGATAAGTTTTTGCTGGTCGAGTGTATGAAACCTGTCTGCGCAAGAACTCGGCGGTGACAGGTTTCTCAAGAGTTTGGTGCCATTACATGTTCAGGGGTTTGCAAAAAATGTAATGGACAGCTCACAGCCTCAAACTTTTCCCTGCAAAGAACGATAGCAGCCTCACCTGCTATATCCTGCGTATTGGTTCAAGAGGTACTTGCTGTCGCAGATGTGGCCAGGATGGCTAGCTGCTTTGGGAGAGTGTGTGTTTCTAACCTCAAAGCCGATAGCTTTATCCCGGCAGCAAGGCTTCCATCAAGAAGAGCACCACAGCCATCGTGACAATGGTCCCCTAACTTTTGATCTAGGCTTAGGCCTTTTTTTGATTCAGGGTCCGAAATTCAGGGTGCAGAATACGGTGGGCGTTTGCGGACGGGTTGGGCCTCAGTTTGGTATCTATGTAGTTTGTTTTTGTTTCTGCAATTTTTGGCTTCCAGGCTTGAGGTTATCCTGTTTCAGTCAATGCGGCGCTGCTGCGAGATGTTTTGCCTTCTTTTTCTGCTTGAAGAAGCACTCGCTCGCCAAGTATCTTACGGGTGGGTGGGGTTCGAGACACTATTCCCAGACGAGCTGTCGTGCCGACCCAAGAATGCTGAAGCAGGATCCCTTATCTTTCTGTTTCATGATAGTCGGAGACTGACATTCATGACAATAATAATGGTAACAACGCGGATTATGCGCATAATGGTACGTGCTATCCCCAGACCCCACACTGGCGCTACTCGATCCGACAATCGAGTCGAGAAACTGAAGAAGGCCAGAAGAGCATCTTGGTCGTGGCGCACCGTGACTCCCTCCGAGTTCTCTTCGGGCACATTGAGGCCCCGGGGGGATGGGAATAGAAACCCCGCGATTTAGCGTTTAGGGTTTAAGACTTTAAGACCCTAAATGCAAAAACTAGGACTTTCAGCAGAACAGGCTTCAAAGCCTAACGATAGGGCTGAGGGTTAGTATGTCGGGACACATTGCTTTTGGAACTACCTTTAGCCCTATACTCGTCGTCCTTTTCATCCTAAGCAAAAATCCAAGCCGAACCGGAAAACTAGAATCTCGGACCCTGAAACAGAAACCCTACACACCAAAAGCCCTCCAAGTCTTCAACCCTAAACCCTAAACCCTAAACCCCTAAACCCCTAAACCATAGTGAGCCTACAAAAAAAACCGTACGGGCCAAAAGAGCCTCCCTGAGGGCACGGAAGCCAGCTCCGTGTTCGACGGCACCTCCCAGACAGCTCCCTTGTGCTTCGACTTCAGCCAGGGCCTGAGAAGCGCGTCGTTTTTTGGAGTTTAGGGTTTAAGGTTTAGGGTTTAGGGTTTAGGGTTTAGGGTTCAGGGTTTAGGGTTTAGGGTTTATGGTTTAGGGTTTAGGGTTCAGGGTTTAGGGTTTCGGGTTTCGAGCTTTAGCCTCCAGAACTCTAAGGGTTTTTAGGTCTCCAGGTTGGGGTGTGACTGTGTGGAGGGGTAGAAGCTACTTTCGCCGAATCTAGGGCTTAGGTGTCGGCAGGGCTTGCGAAATTGTGGTTGGGGGCTTTGGCGGCCAGAGGACGGCAATGTCCAGCAACCTGAACTTGAGGCACCGTAAACTTTCGGGTTTAGGGTTTAGGGCTCTTAAACTTTCCTGAACCACATCATTTTTCATTATCAAGTATTATGCGATAGTCTCGAGCCATACCCGAGTGTGTCATTAGAAATATATTATGTTCACGTAGATTTTTCAATATTATATAATATTGTAGAATGCTATACTGTATGATGTTATATTATTCTGTATTCGCATATTATACTACACAGAATTGTATTCTACATCGGCTTTCTTGTATTATACCGTACGTATTAAATATGCACACCCTAAACCTTGAAACACTCAGGGCTCATCTAGATAGAACCTCTCCAGCCCGCAGACCATACCATCGGAATCTTTGGGAAGTGTGGTTCAGGGTTGAGGCTTTAGGGTTTATAGTACATGGTCTATAGGGTTTAGGGTTTAGTATCAGAGTTTAGGGCTGATAGGGTTTATAGGGTTCAGGATTTAGGGTTTAGGGTTCAGGGATGGACCTGCATCCTGAATCCCAAATCCTGAGCCAAACTTTGCTGCTGTAACACACCGGCATGCATCCGTTCAGGGGCAAGATGGGGCCCAGGGCCATTTAGGGTATCTCGTAGCAAAAGAAAATGTACATTCATCTAGATAGTCTAGGACAATTTCAGGTGGGTAGTTACCGTTATAGGAGCCTTACAGAAGGTCTATATACCTTATGGAAGCCTTATAGAAGCCCTATATTACCCTAAAACTCCCCACCTGTAGTGTCCTTTAAGATAGGGATCACAGGACCCTCAGTTGGATTAGCTTTGCACCCCAAGCCGGAAAGAGACAGCAGGAAATGTACTACTTAGGATCTCTATTCGCCTCCTGTGTTCTGACACTGCCATTTGGGTTTTTGATCTTTAAAGCTTGAGATCCCACACAACAGTCCTTCCACTAAAGTCTATGAGTTTGAGTGTACTTTCCAGGGTCTTTGGGCTTCGGGGTCTTTGAATCTAGAGTAGGCTGCTTTGTCCTACGCAGACGTGCCCCTAATCATAGGGCACAGAGTGGGCCTTTTTAGGGTACCCTAAATAATGGGTGCCGTATTATAATAAGGACCCAAAAAGGGACCATAATTTTGACAACCACCCATATGGCTTAGGGGTTTCTGAAGCGCAGGTGATGACGGCACCTTCGTGAAGAGGTTGCTTGCCGGGCACAGCGGGTGAAGGATGTGGGGTTCAGGGAGTAATATAGTGGCCTTAGTAATTACCTAAACTTGAAATCTTTTTTTTGGGGGGGGCGCCTTATTATAATCATAGCATAATATACATCCCAAAACCCTATTCTTAATGATTAAGGCCCCTACATTAGCCAGGAAAGTTTTCGGGGTTAAGGTCTCGGGTGTAGTCCAAGGGTCCGAGATACTTACTGACAACTACTAGATATACCTGCTTGTTGGAATCTGCGGATCCTTAGAAGCACTTAAAACACAAGTACCTGCAGCACACTGCTCCAGCAGGGGGCGATATGCTGATGAGGAAGTCAAGCAGAATACAGGAAACCCTAAAGCTTGAAACCCTAAACCCTAAACCCTGAGCCCCTAAACCCCTAAACCCTAAACCCTAAACCCCAAACCCCCAAACCCCTGAATCCCAAAGCCCCTAAACCCTAAACCCCCTAAACCCTAAACCCCTAAACCCCAAAGCCCCTAAACCCTAAACCCCATAAACCCTCAACCCGAAAGGCTCCAAACCTAAATCCCAAAGTAAACCCTGAAGCCCCAGCCCTGACCGTCCTCAGCCCTATAATATGGGAGTTTCCGAAAAATATGGGGTACCTCATGTTGGGGTCCTTATTGTAAGGATCCTACTATTTCGGGCTACTATATTCGGGTCCCCTATTTTCAGAA